ACACATACATCCGGTAAGGGCAGGGCCATACAAGAACTGCAGAATACAGCGGAGTTCTTTCAGGACTTATCCCCTTCAGGGAAGTACACGGTAGCTCACGGGCCGTGAGGATTCAAGAACCATGGAGGTATACCGGGTTTGTCTCATTCAGATGAGCAGCGATGCCTTCGCTGTGTTAGGCGCAGAACAGAGACAGGCCTAGCTGTTCGCAAGCGTCACATTGTCTAGAGATCTCGTGAAACTACATTACATGATAAGTCAGAAGTGACTCAGATGAGAAAAATCAAAGAAATTCCAGCCTGGAACAAATCCGCTGACCAAGGATCGAGCAATGTATCTGTGGGAGAAGAAGAGAAGAAAAATGGAACGGGCCAATCGCTCAGATGACGGACGACGAATCAACGAAAGCAATAGATGCCCAGGCTCAAAGGGAAGATTCAATCGCTAGAAGGCTAAGAAAGACATCGTAAGAAGACGTCTCTTTCTGTGCACCGACAAGTGAAAATCCAAAAAACTCCGGTTTTCCCCAGCCCACGCCGTGCTTGCAAAGTACAAGAAAAGCAGGAAGCCAACAATCCTGGTCATGAAAACATGCTCCCCCATGAAGTCGGCGACTAAAAAGAAATATCCACATCCAAAAGAGTAATGCATAACGCCTCGAGTCTCTCCCTTCTCCAGGGAAACTGCTCAGAAGTTAACCCGTGAGAGTATGCAGTCCGAGTATGCAGTCCACCCGTCATCGTTCATGAAACTAGCAAAGAATTATGACTCCATCACAACATCACCATCCGCATCGACTCCGTTGGCTACTGCTTGCTCTGGCATGCCGTTCTCATGAACCTTGACACTCTCGTCGTCGGCAGGGATGACCATCTCAAGTTGCTCAACCAACGATTTCCGATTCACCGATTTGGTGACTTTGGTTTTCTTTTCGGTGCTTTTACCTTTGACCGTCGCAGGGGCTTCGAGTATGGGGTTTTCGACGCTTTCGTTGGCCGCACTATTGCCAGAAACTCCGCTGCCGTTCAACGTAGGCGTTGCATCATCACCATCAGTGCGGTCCATTTGCCTCTCAGTCTCCAACGGCATCGCGGTCGGTGACATCTCTTCCAAGTGACCCGCTGCCATGTTCTCGATATCCTTGCCTCGTTCATTCTCTGTACCATTTGGCTCCACGCTGCCCGAATCAGCAGCGGGAGACTCCATGAGCTTGGCACTCCGGCCGCGGCGGACGCTCATCTGATTCGCACTGGGAGTCATGGATGCCAGCACCGATGATCTGCGAGGAGTGTTGCGCCCGCTAGTACGAACGGTAGTCGGTGTCGAAGCCGTCTTGAGGTGTGTCCGACTTCCCCACGGTCGGCCAGGGCGCTTTTTGTAGGATGGAGCCTGAACAGGAGGCCAGATCTCGAATCTCCATGCAGGTATGTCATTAGTGGGTTTGTTCTCAGCCGCGGTATTGGAGTCTGCGGATGTGGTGGGCGGCGGGCGGAAGCCATTACTGTTGATCAATGCATCTGTAGAAGGAGGTCCCGCCGGCTCATGCGGAATTTGCTTTGGTTCTGGGTCAACGATCCCATTCATGATCGGAGGAGCTGTGCTGTCTTCCTTCGACAGGTCGATATCAGTGGATAGTGGCTGTTCTTCCTCGTCGCCTGATTCTTTTACATCCTCACTTTCTTCTTCGTCTAACCCTTCGCGGGGCGCTACTGCATGCAGTGGGGCTCGATCAAATTGTGACTGATTGCTTCGGCCCACGATGTACGGTGTCCAGACGAGCGCATCTGGATTGAGCTGAACATATCCCTTGCTCTCCCAACTTTGAATGCACTCCTCAAAGTATTTGTAGTCAAGGCGCAAAGCATAAGTCTTGGTCACAGGATCCCTCACAAGAGCACGCAACGCTTCCAGACCCGACACAATGTCATCGGCTGTCATGCCTGTGCGCTCCGAGATCTCCGCGATGCTGAGAGGAGTCTTTTGGCTTCGTAGCAGGTAGGACAAGATAAGCCGCCAGTAGTTTCGGTAGGAGACCAATCCCATATCTGACAGAGGCTTCTCCGGCGACCCTGTCTTTCCCTCAATGCGTGTGAGCAGGTAAGAAAAATCAATAAGTAGGTTTCCATAACCTTTCCGCTGATGAATAGGTAACGTTAGAATGCACGAGACATTGTTCGCTGAGCTTGGGCGCTTTTCCTTGCTGAAATACCCAACGAAATGGCATCCCAATTCGTCGTACTCGGTCATGACGTAGAAGAGGAAAGGCTCTACATCGTAATAAAGAGTTTTCGAACCCAGGAACAGCTTTGCAAGCAAGCAGAGATTCTGGCAGTAGACTGGATTCTTCCGCCCATCTACCTCGAATATGGAGATTGACCCTTCCCGGTAGATTTCATCGCCAGGAGGGTGCTTCGCCGGGCACTTGAGTTTATGCCGCCACGCAACGTAGTCGGAGTTCATATACTTCAGGCAGAATTCGCAAATGTAAAGGACTCGGTTGCGGCTATATTCTTCCGGGTAGGGAGCGGCGTACCAGGTCTCGATCTCATAGCCCCCAAAATTAATGTACTTGATTCTGGACGGAGGACCTGAGACCTTCTGTGATGCATGCTGTACGGTTTCACCGCTGGGTTCAGTTTGCATGACTCTTCGTTGCCATTCCTCCTCTGCTTTGTGACGGGCTATTTCAAACTTTTCCCTATCCAGGTTGGTCGGCAACGTCTTTGATGTATCCGCGTCAACTTCAGAAAGAATACCTCCGTAAGGTTTAGACTTGGACTCATCCATCTCGCGGTCGTTAAAAGAATAAAACGGGGTGTAGTAGGAGGCAGGCGTTATAGGAGCAAAATGAGCTTGAGGCTCGGGAACAGGCGGGGGTGGCTTAGGAGTCCGGTGGTTGCGCGTTTGAGATCTGCTGCGAGAATGGAAGATTTTGGACAACCTAGACTCATCTAAGCGAAACGCTAGGACAAGACGCCCATACTGCTTCAGCACGACGCGGCAATTTTCCTGTTCACTCTGACGTGTACGCCGCGAGCGCGTTCGAACTGGAGACATGCCATCAACAACCTCGCCCATCTCGCGGGATATTGCCCGATCGGAGCGCAGTGAAGTCTGCCGTTGCCGTTTACGTAGCACGGGCGCATGCTCATCGACCTCCGCCGACGCCGAAAGGGCTTTCCTCTTTCGTAGCGACCGAGAGCTGCTTAGGAGTTCATCGTTGACTGTTACAGTGTTGAAGATCGAATGAAAGTCAGAGCCTTCTTCGCCGGTATGGGCCGGCAGCAGTTCTCTGCGCATGTTCTTAGCTCGACGCTTTCGTTGCACCGGTGCGTTCTCCTTGGGGCTGGGCCTCAGCTTCTCCCGGACGCAGGTAGGACATCGCCATGAATTGGGTCCTACCATGGTTTAGCACATCATGAATTAGTGGTTTGATCAGGAATGAGATAAGATACCTTCCACGTCATCTAGGGCACTCTGTTCCCGGGCGCATTGCCGGTGAGCTGTCGGGTTGCCGAGTCAGTAAGGATCGTCCAACAGCCGGCTGGATAATTTATGGGGCCGCGAAACCAACATACAATGATCGCCACAGACTTCGCAAGTCAAATACTCCTCGTACTCTTCACTAGGATCGTTGTCTTCGTCCTGGCCACAGAATCTAGACACAGGGCAATTCATATTAGTTATCGGTGTTTCAGGCGACTGCCCCTGATGTGGCCCAGAGCCCGGCAGGTCAGGGGCACGGGCAGCCAAATTGAGGTTCTAGACTCACATGCAGTTGCCGCGGACCGTGTTCTCCGCCTCCGCATCCTCATGGTCATTGCTTTCTCCTTCCCATTCATCGTCCGATTCCTGACTGCTTGACGACGAACCCGATGCATCATCTTGTTCTTGCTCGCTGTCGCTGCGATGCTCAGAAGCAGGATCTTCGTCTGCGTCTGCGTCTGCGTCTGCGTCTGCTGGGCCCGAAACCACATCTTCGTCGTCCTCGGTCGGGGCTTCCTTGGGTAATTTCACAGCGCCAACCGGCTCGGCATCAAGCGGAGCGCCGTTCACGTCCATTTCAGGATCGGTTTCACCTTCAGCATCCAGTTCATCGTCAGGGCCAGCTGCCGGAGTGTTCTCAACGGGCTCGCCCGAAAGGGCCCGGTGCACAGCGTCCTGTAGCTGTTGGTCCATCTGATAGAGATCTGTGTCCTCCTCCCCTTCAGCATCCTGCTCACTGTCCACCAAATCCGCGGGGGTATTGTTGTCTAGGTCGTCATCGACCGGCGGCACTATTGCCGGCATGTTGTGTTCGAGCGGTTACAACGGTCGCCAGAACCAACGAGTATTGAATTGTCTCGGAAACTTCGAATGGCAAATAGAGGGAATCCGTAGCAGGCAGAAGGCAACCCAGCAGTTGAAACTATACAGGCTCCCCGCAAAAGTAGACAATCATCTGGCGCCGCAGTGAATGGGCATGGGGAATCATAGAACAAGTTGCCCGGGGCGCCAGCGAATGCGACTTCGAGATCGGCGAGTAGAGGGTTTGCGCTGAGAACCCAAAGTTAATAAGTTGAGCGCAGGCGCAATCAAAACAGCTGTCAGTGGAAGGGAAAGATGGGAGAGGAGCGGGATGGAACAATGGCGGATGGAACGCGTCAAGCTATCAGATACGAGGGAACATACCTCTCCCACAAGCACAGCCAACGTACCCTGAATTCAATAGCAAGGACCGTAGGGAAGAATCTCAGCAGCTGAAGAAGGCCGTCTACAGGCGACTTCCCGGAATCTACGCACTCGCCCCTTCTGCTTCTCCTGTCCCTGTGAGGTTGAGTGCCGCTGCTGACTCATCCACGGCCGGGTCACCGCCCCCCCCTAAACCGCTTTGGGTCATCCGCCAGACTCTCGTTCGAACCTCCGGCGGGCTTCAACTTCGCCAGTCAATTCCTCCACGACTTCATTCCCCCGCGTTTACCCGTTGCGTCTGCCGCTTCACTACACTAGCACTACACATCATGGGTGTCCCCTTCGAGGCCTTGCTTCCCTTTGGAATCATCATCGGTGTAGGTCCTGCCAATTGTTGTTCCGCAATTCGTTCTCGCGCTCGGTTTGACTGATCATGACGTGACAGTCCCTCACTGCTGGTGCTGGTGGTATCTGGGCCGTTAAGTACTATGCCAACGGCTGGAAGCAGCCGCGTTGGAACCTTGACCTGTGGGATAGAGTGAGTTCTACCCCTTTTGTGCGATTGAATGACCTTGCGCGCTAACAGCAGAGCAGCAAAGTACGTGATCCATCCTTAACGATTCCACCCCAATGCATGACGAACGTTTTTCGGAAATTTTACGCATGCGCGATCGACGTCTTGGAGATGAGCTACGGAGCTAACGATTGACTTCGCCGCAGTGATGGAGAGAGATCAAAGAATGACAGGAATATTCCGAGGCCAATCGGCCAACCCCACAGCCCCCACGGGCTTCGAACTCAACAACCCCTGGAAGGTACAGTGCTACCTGCTTTTGGTTGCTATGCGCGCTTCCTGTTCAGACGACTGACCTGTGCTGCAGCTCGAGAAACGGATTTACTAAGGCGATCTCTGCGCCATGTCTGCAATTATCTATTTGTGCCTCATTTGTTCGTCCTGCATTAGCTTTGAGAGAAATATCCACGCCTCGGGTTAGAAAGAATAACCTCATTCTTTGTTATCTGTACAATTGTCGCCGAGCCAGCGATTTCCTCGCTGCGACGGTAGAATTCCAAAAATGTCCAAACATTCTATTTGATTTGAGAGACCAACCCGCGAATGCCTTCGATTTCATGCCTTTGGAAGTGCATATCGAACCATTTGGCCAACGCCTTGACGCGGTCGTCCTCGCTTTTCAAGGTTTCGACCACCTCCGAATGTCCGGCTGCCCTTACCTTCACTGTGTTTCCAGCCAGGATACAGAGCCCTTTAACTCCTTGTCCGCTGTCATCCAGCAGCATCCGCGTGCAAACCAGCGTCTGGGTGAACCAGCTCGTTCGCCGCTGACTGGTGGCAAAGTTCATGACCTCGAAATCCTGCGGGAGGAACTCCACCTCGGAGAACGAGTACATGGGCATCCAGGTGCTGTCCCGCGTATACCGGACCTGGTATATCCAAACCTTCTGCGTCTGGTCCACGAATTCGGGCAAAGTATCGTAGATGAGCCGCATTTCCGACGGGGCTATATTCACCCGCGCGCTTCCATGCTGCAGCGGCAAGGGGCAGGTAGGCCCGTTGTTGCCGAACCCGACGTCCACCTGTCCGATACGAGGGTTAGCAACGTGGTGTAGACAAAGAGCAATGTCAGAATATCATCCGATTGTGCTTTTGGGGAAATTCGACAGCCATACCGCGTATTTCTCGCCGTCGATGGTCACAATCAAGACCATGTGTGTCCTGTGGTGTAACATTGCGCATGAGTTTCTCAGCGTTGGGTTCGCAACAGCATGCAACGGGAAACGGCGGCGCCACTTACGTGCCTACAAACAACCAGTTGCGGCTGTCGGTCGACGCATCGGAGGCTGCAGTGTTCACTCGCCCTCCGGTTGGGTAGACCGTGTACCCCAGCGATCGGAGGACATGGTAGAACAGCATAGTATTCTCCATGCAGTAGCCGTCAAGCCGGCGGGACACCAATTTCTCGAAGACGCATGCCGGACGGATTGAGATGGAGTGGTGCGCTGAGTAGTGAAGCCCCGAATTCCCCCACGGAATCGAGGTTATGTGTGCTCGCTGCAGCTCGGTCAAAGTGGCCAGAGGGCGTTTCTGGATAGAGTCGCGGACATATTCCAGTTGTCTGCTACCAGGCGTGGCATTAGGGAACCCAATGCGCTCCAGGTAGAGCTCCAGCTTATCGGGGGTATATGTTGATGGTGCAGCCATGGTTCGTCGCTGGGTTTGAGTTGAGGTCAATTTGATTGGGGGCTGAGTTAAAGCTTGTGAATGCCGGGAGTGTCCGGCAGTTCGTCTGGATGGATGATATTGTGGAGAATTATCCGTTTGGGTGCAACTCGGTCACGATCTTGCCTGCTTCTATAGCATACCAGTAAATAAATCATCGACCGTTTGTTAACTTCATGGGCATCTACATATGCTACACAACCAAAAGGCGTACCTCAAAAAAGACACATTTGAATTCAGTCAACTCACTCAGGCTTGGGAGTTCCCTTTGATCCGACTTCCAATGACCTCTGCCACTCTACAGCTGCCAATCATGTCAATCCTCCGATCCTCGGTTATTCCACATGCTCGACGACAATCAGCAGCTTGAAGCATAAAGGCATGCTATCTACCATTGAACCTGATACAAGGCCCGACAGTCCTCTTCCCCATCTATACTATCCTCAGAGTCTCAATCCCACACCTCACCCCCTACCAATTAACCCAGAGGCTCTCCGCATAAACCTCCCCGACTCTCTATTCCCCCGGATTCACCCCGCATCGACTTTGAGTATCTCACACCACCACCACCACCACCACCACCACCATCATCATCAACTCCCCCCCGCCAAACAAAGACATCAACTCCCCACTAACATGTCAATGCCAACCTCCCTCGAAGAAAAGCTACGCATCCTACACAACTACTCCACCTGCGACGTACGTAACACCACGCACCTTGAACAAATCCATCAACAACCCACCCAGAGATCCCCAGATCCCCACTCACAGCACAAACAACTAGGTCTCCGATGCGCTCCTCAAACTCCAAACCCCAGCCCCAGGAACCCCCGCCCGCGCCGGCCACCTCGCCGACCTAAGTAAGTAGCAGCACCATCACCAAAATCCCACCCAGCCAACAAAAACAAAGCAAAGCAACCTAACCACCAAGAAACAAAGCCCCTCACCCCCACCCCGCCCCCCATCTCCCAAGCCCTAGCACCACCAAGACCATCGCCCCAGCCTCAACCATCAAATTCATCTCCAAAGACGACGATATCCCCGCAGCCAGCAACAACAATGCGCACACCATCCCCCCAAACACGCACTGGGTCGACGGTGTCGACCCGGACACCATCGTGGTTGTCGACCAACCCCCAGCCCAACACTGCGCGGTCGTGGGGGGCATCATGGCGCTGCGCATGAAGCACCTAGGCGTGAAGGGGGCGGTGGTGAACGGGCGCGTGCGCGACCTCGCCGAGTTTGAGGGGTGTGGGCTCCCCGTGTGGGCGCGGGGGACGTCGACGGTGGGGAGTGGGGCGGAGGCGAAGGCGGTCGCCCGCAATGTCGCTGTTGATGTGGGTGGGGTGGTTGTTGAGCCTGTATGTTCTCCCTATCCTGGAATGAGATAGCAAGGGGGGGTTGCGTTGCGTTTGGCTAACCTGGTGCTGCGGCGGTCATGTGGTATACACAGGGAGATATCATTGTCTGTGATCCGGTGGAAGGCGTGGTGGCTATTCCGCGCGATCTGCTCGATGCCGTTTTGGAGACGATGCCTAAGTTGGTGGCGATGGATGATCGGGTGAAGGAGGCTGTGGGGCAGGGGGTCAGTGTGTTTGATGCCTTCAAGCGGTTTCGTGGGAAGATTTAGATCTCGTCTTTCTTGTGGCATTGGTGGGTTGGCACTGGAGGACATATGGTTGAGCCCGGAGGCCCTGGGGTTTACGCCCGGTCCATTTATCTATACGGAAGTTGGACAAGTATAAACTATCTGGAAGACTTCTAGATGATAGGAATGGAAGATATCTCATGGTATCAGACTTAATCCAAAGCCCCAACATTCGAAACAACGACTGAAAGCACAAAGGTTGAAAGAAGCCCGCTCTTTATATATTAAGACAAAAGGAGAGAAGATTCACATGAAGCCAGCTCATTCTAATTTTTCCCCCTTGACCAACCACTTATTCCGCCACCCACACGGCGGCCATACCCATACCCGTACCAACACACATGCTGGTGACACCGATCTTCTTGTTGGTCCGCTTCAGCTCCGTCAGAAGCGTGCTGACTTGCCGGGATCCAGTGCAGCCGAGCGGGTGACCGAAAGCGATTGCGCCACCCTTGGGGTTGATCTTCTCCTGCGGCAGCCCCAGCTCGTTGACGCACCACACGCACTGCGAAGCGAAGGCCTCGTTGATCTCGTAGATGTCGACGTCGTCCTTGGTGATGCCCGCCTTCTCCAGCGCCACGGGGATCGCCTTCCACGGGCCGATGCCCATGAGCAGGGGCTTCACACCCACGACGCTGCCGGTGACGTACTTGCCGATGATCTTCTGGCCGAGACGCTCGGCGGTGGACCGCTTCATCAGCAGCACGGCGGCGGCGCCGTCGGAGATCTGCGAGGCGTTGCCGGCGTGGATGGAGCCGTCCTTGGCGAAGGCGGGCCGGATCTTGCCCAGCGACTCGGCGGTGATGCCGTCGCGGATCCCGTCGTCGGCCTTGACGGTGATGGTCTTCTCCTCGTTGGTCTTGGGGTCGGTCCACTTCACCTGCAGGGGGACAATCTCCTCGTTGAAGAGCCCGGCCTTCTGCGCCTTGACCGCCTTCTGGTAGGAGGAGGCAGCAAAGGCGTCCTGCGCCGCACGCGTGATCTTCCGGTCCTTGGCCATCTGCTCCGACAGGACACCCATGGGCACCTTGCAGTTGGCGGACTCCGGGTGGCTCTCCAGCAGCTCGGAGAATTCGGTCACGGCGCCGGGACTAGTTTCAGGATCCGGGTCAGCTCGTTCTCAGATCTTATGAAGAGGGGTGAGACACCTACCCATACTGCGAGGACATGCTCTCAACGCCAGCACCAATACCAACCTCAATCATACCGGATCGAATAGCGTTGGCAATGTCAACGATAGCCTGAAGCCCACTGGAACACTGACGGTTCAAGCTCTTCACAGCCGCGGTCTCAGGGAATCCAGCGACGAGCGCAGCCGCACGGAACTCAGTAGCGCCACCACCAGGGGGCAGAACCGATCCAACAGCGATGTCTTCAACGACGCTGGGGTCGATGTTACTCCGGTCGATCACTGCCCTGAAAACACCTGCCAGCAGGTCGGCGGCAGCGGTATCCTTGAAGCCGCCCTTTCCACCCTTGGTGAGAGCCGTCCGCAGAGCACATGTCACAACAATATCATCGGGGTTCTTCTCCGTGAGGGCTGCAGCGCCTTTCTTGCCTCCGGGACCGAAGTGAGAAGCCACCTGGCTGAGACGTTGCTGGGCTAGAATACCGCTGTTAGCTTGGAAATTCCGGGATGTATTGCCTGGGAGGGGTGATAACATACGAGAGGACATAATGACGTCAGCAAATGAAGACAGGAAGGGGTTGAGATAAGTATGACCTGACAGCAAGGGGAGGGGAGGAACAATATTTTGACAAAAGCAGGATCAGAAAAAAGATGCAGCAGGTCTCCTTTTGGCTCTTATAAGACGGAAGTCCGGGGAAGAGACAGCGTGGAGAAAGTCATTCAGGTAACCCCGGCCTACCAGCTCTTTAGTTACTGGTTGGTGAATAATAATAGGTAATCCTGTGAAAGTACCGAGGCTCGGCCGCATTATTGTTAGTCCGTGGAAATGGGTCACGGGATTGCCAAAAGCATGGAGATTCATGTGAAGACCGATGTTGGGGATCCATCCTTGACTGGCCGATGACCAGGCTGATTATCTGCATCGTCGTCATGAGATCAGCAATACAATACCAGATCTATTTGCATGTGATGGAGTCAGTCATTGTCATGGATAGTGGATCATAACTAGTACTATCTCGGCTGCTGATAAATTCAAGCGCTCCCCTCCCTATATAGGCTTCTAGACTAAATGAAATATCCGTTAATATCATCATGGATGACAGACACCATTACCGCTTTGACGAGAAGTCATGCTAGCCTAAAGCCATGTGTAGCTTCCTATGTAACTAACATTAGTCCCTCCATATACATATACCCGGGGCTCTCTAAGCACAAAACAGCAAGTGTAAATCCATAAGGCGGTGAACCCCAAGGCGGCGAGCGAGTGCGCGCGCACCACGCTCCATCCTTTTCTGCCGGCCTATCCGGCGATAACCAAAGAAAATAAGCCTTGCGCCTCAACTCAACCGCCGAGCGTCGCACCCAAGTAATCCTCCAATCCTTCAACCTCCAACCTCCCACCACAACAAAACACCCACCCAGCAGTCCCAATGCGCCTCACCCGCCTCCTCCCGACCTCTCTCCTACCACCAGCTGTCCCAACAGCCCGTTCCCTCCCCACACAATGCCTCCTCCGAACCCATAATAACCCCCCGATCACCATCCGCCCGGGTATCCTCTCCGCGCCGCACCAAGTACGTCTCGTTTCCCTCACCACCGGTACCCTCAAAACTAACACACCCCAGACAACAAGCCCAACCCGGACCTTCACTACCACCCACCCCAAACCTTCCCCCTCCCCCTTCCGCCTAACCAGCACCCCGAGCCCTAAGAACCCTCCGCCCTCGACCGACGAATTCCACGCCGAACCCGACCATGGCCACGACCACAACACCACAGACGCCTACTATAGTCCCTACAAACCCAAGCGCCAATGGCCCCCGGACATGTCGAAGCTCTCGCCGAAGCACCAATTCCGGCTCGAGCGCAAGTACCGGCGGCGCGCGGCGCTGAAGTATGCCCGGCCCAAGTGGACCAAGTTCACTAAGTTGGTGCAGTGGTTTAGTATTGGGTGTAAGCTTTCCCCCGCTGGACTTGGATTTGGAGGAGGGAGCGGAGATGGGGGGAGAAGGAAGGGAGGAGGGGGTATGTGGGGCACGGTCGTGAATGGGTTACTGACTTGATTATTATCTGTGTGTGTGACAGTTGTTCTGATTTATGCGATGTTGTTTATGGAGTGGGATGAGAGGGGAAGTCCTTTTGATGAGGTAAGGCTTTGTTTGCTCACCCTTTGTTCTGCTTGCGAGCGCTCTGGGCAGTTGGTGTGGGGTTTGGACGGGGCTGACAAGTTGTATAGATTCGGAAGGCTTTCTTTGGAGGGTTGAAGGGAGCATTTTCCACGCCTGCGCCGCCGAGGCCCGTGAGGGAGGCCGCCGGGGAGAAAGATCGAGAGTAAGTGGTTCTACTACTCATGGCTATGCAGCGGTTGCTATACATCGAGCGAGGATAGAGCAGCGTCAAAGATGCGTGGAGAACAAGGCCTAGGACCCGCATACTGTATATTACCCTGTCCATGTACAAGAAAGATAGAATAATGACATCCAAGAAGACCTTAAGTACTAGACTGTTGGTCGTGAAAAGCGCGCAGCCCTAGCGTGTCTGTCCAACAGGAGAAAACGATTGAACTGCCTGACCATGCTCGCAAGAAAACGAATATAAAAAAAGAACGTCAGATGATTTCCCAGTCAGGTCTGTGGCCCTGTTGCCGTCGTCAAGTCATTTCGCCGTGGCCGTCATGGAACGGACAAATGCACCCAAAACACCATAGAAAATGCCAGCGCCTTTCAATCCCAAATACTCCGCAATCGTCAGAAAGAAAGATGGGACAAGAAACCTAATCAAATCAAGCAATGTTAAACCTCCCGGCAACGATTGCATAAACAGGCCCTGTCAGGATAAATAGTCTCAGCACAGGTGCTATGACTGGCCAGGGTACCTAGCATGTGAACAGCACCGATCGCGAAACAGTAAGGTCTACAGCCAATTGCCAATGACATTGCTCGGAGGCACTCCGGTACTGGCAGGGACGTCCAGCGCCAGTTCCAGCTTGGGAGGCTGCTCGTCCAGGAGACCCTTCTTAGGGCTTCCACCTGCTGCCTTGACCGGGGATTTGGATGGTGACCGAATCTCCGGGCGAGGAGGTCCCTCACGAACAGGCAAGTACGGCCACTCATCATCGATTGCTGCGGCAACCCATGTGCGGAGACAATCGTGCACAGAGGAATAAAACTTCTCCTTGCAAGTCCTCAAAGTCCCGCCCATGACCTTTTCGAACCCTGAAGCTCGGAGCTCAGCTCGCAGTTGATTTCTCTCCTGGGTAGTGGGCAAAGACGCCACGATCCCATTCAGTAGGTCTAGATGAGCTGCCAGATAATTGGTAGCATCCCATTCGACACCGCCGACATAGGGAGCAGCTGGCACCGGCGGCCGAGGGACCGGGAAGTGTCGCTCTCGGTATGTTGCTGATGAAGGTGTTTCACCCTTCGGGGTCGGAATCACATTCAGATGATGCAAGAAGATCCAGAAAACTTCTTTGCTCACATTCGTAACCTCTTTACACCACACTCGGTAAGGACGTGACTGGTAAATGTTCGCAATGAAACTTAGCGGTTGGTTTTCTTCGGATGGCGAAGGGTCGCGCAAGTACGAGAGGATCCGCGAGGCGCGGTTAGCAGCCATCTCATCCGAGGATACAGCCGAAAGCTGGGTGAAAATCAAGTTGATAATAATCCCTCGGGTGGTAAATTCACTGGGTCCTTTTTTCTCCTCGTCAAAGAGCATCTTGAGCAAGGCTGGAAAGAGTTCTCCTTCAATCTTGGAGAGGTGCTCGAGTGCGATAGAGGTAGTGCAAAGAGCTTTGAGACATAGCAACGTCTCGTGAAGCAGATTATCCTCGTGTTCTTCTCTGTGGAAGCATTAGCACTGGAATCTTGAGATTCCCTTACAAATCCGAATTTACTACTCACCTCCACTCAACTTTCATGATGCGATAAAGTAACTGGACTATCTCGTCCATGCCACCATCTGCAATGAATGCGTCAACCCAGCTGACAGTCTCATTGCGCAATAGAATCCGAAGCTTGTGTATTTTGCCAATCTCTATCATCTCAGGTTTCTGAATCTCCCTCAAATAGTGGACAAAGTCTGATGGGTCAGTGGCTGTATCGCGCGCAGTCGCGGAAAGCGAAGTGGTAGAAGCATTGGGCGTCAAAAGTTTAGAAAAGCCCGCGGGCAAAGAGTAATCGGCGGATTTGGGACGACGGTAGAAGCTTCCACTGTCCGGGCGCTTCTTGGGCGACGAGCTGCCTTTGGAGAAGCTGAAACCACGACTCCTGGATCGGGATCGTGAACCTTTGCTATCATAGTTCTGTCTTTCTTCCTTGTGCTCCTTCCTACGCCCGCGACGACCGGTACTGTCATTCGCACCGCTGCTGGTAGTATGTGGGGTCGCGTTCTCTGTTCGATCTTTCAGGATGAAATCAGCCTTGATGTTGGTGTCTAAAGATCGCATCTTGTCTCGCATGTTGTGAGGAATGTTCCGCGCATCCTGTCTTGATAATTAGAGCTGCCTTGTTTGAGTGGGAGTCGCGCGACGGGAAGGCTCACCAGTAATTTCTCGAATTCCGAGTCGAGTTCCTTTGGATTTAGGCGTTTCCGCAATTCAGCTTCCTGCTCCTTAGCATTCAAAGCGGAGATCGCTGCCTGAACACGAGAGACCTTTGGGCTCTGCTCTCGCACAAGCTCAGCCTTCTCGCCCTTCTCTGGCCGTGACAACGCTCGAGGCCTTCCGAATCGCTTGGATGGCGACGATCCCGATGTGTCCGCCGTCGCCGTCTTGTCTGAAGATAAGGCCTGTAAAGGGGCCAGGACTTCCTTCATCCTGCGGCTTCCAGCGAGGTAGTCTGATTTCGGCCGCGGCTTGAGTTCAGTGCGTAAAGTGCGAGGAGTGGGAGATGGCTGCTGTTCGTAGTCCCAGATATTACTTTGATGTGTCGGTCCATATGCCCTGGGTGTACATGGGGATGTCTCCTCTTGCATGGTTCTACGCTTGTTCTGTGTTGGAGAAAGTCCGGCTTGGTCGGGGTACAAGGGCGGCACAAACTGATCCCAGGCGGGTGAGGGCATGCCGTTAACTATATCCGATGGGCTTCGATTCTCCTTATCCCTAGCGATCTTGGTACCCTCCGTCTTGTTTCCGCGTTGTGATCTTCTCAGGATAGCAGAGAGGCTGTTGGCTGATTTCGCCTTCTTTGGCCTCAAGTTCTGCGCGTCAACATCCAGGGCCTCCTCCGGCTTGGGTTCTTTTCGCTCCATGTAGCTCTTAAGGGACTTCAGGGAGACCGCACTCTTGGTCTTCTTGTGAAGTGTATTCTTTCCCTGCTTTCCCGGCGATCTCTGGGCTGAGCCAATGTCTGCTGATTCCCGGTTTGGGGCTATTTCGGTGAGTGGTTGTTGGTTGAATGACGCATAGGCCCCATCGCGAGGCGGTGTAGTGGAACCGTCGGAAGGCTGGCTTGTATAAAAGGCCTTGGAGGGGAAGGCGTCATCCGCAGAGGAGTTTCGTTTGTGAGATTTCGGGGACAAGAATGCTCGGAATACTGAGGGCCTGGAAGGGTTTCGTGTGGCGTCGTCAAAGATGCTGGGGGATTCCACAGTGGGTGCCATTTCGAAGAATTGCCCTTATGCCTGGAGCTGACTTGAGAATCGCGGATCTGGTTAGTATGGATGTGGAGTAGGACGGAGTAGTTAGGCATAAATCACTCACGGTGCAGTTGCCCCAGCACAACAAGACAAAGAAACACCAGCGACGCGGAATGACGGCAATGACAACGAGAAGGCGAGGGACGGTTTTATGCAAAACGAGACAGTAGCGACATGCAGCTGAAGGTAACAACAGACATCGAAGAAGACCCAGAAATTGCGAAATATCTATGAATGCAGCAAAGACGAAGATCAAACCTGACACGACAAGGAAGAGGGAGAAAAGACGCGTGGAAGCAGAGCCCGCTGTTAGACTGACTAGCAGTGACAGCCAGCACCGATAGACACGACAAGAGCAGACGGGGGGCAAGGGACACACACACACACACACACCGGAACGAACGCCAACCTCAGGTGGGTGGGCCGGGCATTTGAAGACTTCCAAGGCTCGGGGACAAGGCAAGAAGAACGAGCATGCTTCCTCCACTGTCTAACCTAATCGGCATATGGGCGATGGAGACCATACGCCATTGCCAAACGGCTGGAGATGAACTGCGCCGCGCATGAAGCGGAGGGTGTAAACATGCTGCGGGCGGCGGGGTTGTCCCGGGCAACCATCCTGTTTTCGGCCGGTCGCGCCGCCGGAAGTTGATGGATGCGATAGATTGATATCAGCATCTTCCATATCACCTGCCTGATCGCCTGCAGATTACGAGGATGATGCTGATGCTGATGCTGATGATGCTGCTGATACTCCTGCTGCCCGACCATCTCCGTCATGAAGACTGGATTTCTAAGCCGAGAACGATGTCATAGTGGAGGAAGTGATGGCATCTGTCAAAATTCCCAGACGGCTGATCTGCCATTTGCCTGGGCCCATGATGTTATAGTTTGGGGGGGGGGCTGGAAGGATTTCATATGAGATGATATGATAACCACCTAAAGTTAATTACAGAGTACTTTGTACTGTACTTGTGACAGTCCGGATTATCGCCACAATAGGGTGGGGGGTCTAGTCAATAAGGTAGGACTGGGTCCCGGACATACATGTCTAGGAGGCGGAAAACAATGGTGACATTCTATCTGAGACTTCTAACAATAAATTAATAACGGCGTAGGACTAAGGCTGGCTAGTCGTAGTTTAGTAGTTTGTTATTCAATGATGACAATTCTGGATGATGTAGTGAGCGCCGTAGTGTAAGCTGCTATACTTTCCTACGGGGCGGATGGCCCAATCAATAATCCCTCGCAAGGCAATCATCGCGGGGAAACGCGGCGCCTGAGGCGGGAAGGCTGCAAGGGAGCCCAGCCTAGGGAGCCGTCCGTACCTTAGATTCCTTTTCCTTAGGTTCCTTAGGTTCCTCAGGTTAATGACAATCCAGACAAACAATGGCTGTCGTCTACTGTACAACAACAGCCCTCTTTATAATCGGTCTCTTCCCCTCTTCCCCCTCTTCCCGCTTATCGTTTTGATCTTTGTACTTGTTGGTTACCTTCATCATTCTTACTCATTTCCCCTTTAACCACTACACCTATGACTAACCTAAATTATAAGCCAAGCCATCTCCAAGGGTGCCTAGAAATGCCATCGGATTTAGTAAGAAGCGAAGGCTTGGCCACCACTTCACCGCGAACAGCCTCCAGTGGGATGCCGCATGCCGTCATGCCTCCAAAATTCTCTTCTTTCCTTCCTCTCTCTCCCCTCCACCACTTTCAGTTCATACCTTGAGCTAGCTCTTGAACACTGATTGCCAAAATAAAACTACCAACACACATTCTGCTTGCTGTCTTGCCAGCTTTATACTTCCGACGTACAGGAAGTGATCTGGCCTGTTTTGTCGTTCTCGTTCCTTGAGTGTCACTGGTGATAACCGCATTCGGGCAGTTTCGGGCTCTCTTCCCCGCAGGGTACTTGGATCTTCCGGTTGAGATCCCGACGTAGTCTGGCCTCACCATTGTTCCAAACCTCGTGGCATTTCATGTCCACTTAACCACCTGGTGCTGTATCACTCACAATCCCAGTACACTCACTTCTCAAGTCTTCCACGCTCTTGCCAGCGCATATAACCGCCTCGCCCCCCATGAATTGCCCTTCACGCACCGACGAAACCCTCGATCATCCCGACTGGAATCAGAACCCACCCGCTTTGAACGCAGACGTCACCACCCGAAGTGACTTCAACGGGCTCGCCAATTCTAAGGTCCATAGGCGGCACGCATCGGGGATGGGGGGCGCTTCAGAGGAAGGTGTCTCGGCAATGGATCATCGACCGCATAGTCTAGACGGGAATGAGACCGAGATAGAGGAGAAATGCCCCGGTGGGGTGGTCTCTGTCGCCCCTGGGGATCATATCCCCGGGGAAGACAGCAGATCTCCCTGCCGTTCTTTCAAATCAACCATCTTTTCATATCCTGCCCATGTGGCGCAAAGTCTTGTCAAATTTGGCCGGTTCATAGGCCCCGGCTTTCTGATCGCAGTAGCCTACATTGACCCTGGAAACTACTCCACCGATGTGGCAGCAGGCGCAAAATATCGTTACGCTCTTCTGTTCATCGTGCTCGTCTCCAATTTGTTTGCTATCTTTCTCCAGTCTCTGTGTGTTAAGCTTGGCACAGTGACCGGGCTTAACCTTGCGGAGAACTGTAGGGAACACCTTCCGAGATGGCTCACTATTGTTCTGTACGTCTTTTCAGAAGCTGCCATTGTCGCCACTGACATAGCAGAGGTAAGATCGACTATCTCCAAGCCGCCTGACTCCGTTCCCTAGGCCGAATGTTCAATTGACCGTCCTGGCAGGTAATTGGATCGGCGATTGCGCTCAACCTTTTACTCAAAATCCCTCTAGTTGCTGGATGTGCGATTACTCTAGCTGACGTCCTCTTTATCCTCATCTTTTACCGACCAAATGGGGCTATGTGGGGGTTGCGTCTGTTCGAATTCTTCGTAATGCTTCTTGTACTGGGGGTTGTGATTTGCTTCTGCATCCAGCTTTCGCTGATCAAAGAGCAATCTGTTGGCGATGTTTTCCGGGGCTACTTACCATCATCTGCCATCGTCCAATCAGAAGGGTATGTGAGCCGTCATATGATTTGCTTATGCACAGCCCTGACATGTTGGTTGGCAGTCTGTATCAAAGTTGCGGCATTCTCGGCGCAACGGTAATGCCGCACTCGATGTTCCTAGGCAGCGGAGTGGTTCAATCGCGACTGAAAGAATTCGATGTTACTCAAGGCTACGTGGATCCATCCGTCTGCCTCGGAAGCACCAGTGGTGAGGTCGAGTATAGACCCTCCATCCATGCCATTCGGGGTTGCATGAAATACTCAATCATTGAGCTTACCTTGTCGCTATTCACATTTGCCCTGTTTGTGAATAGCGCCATTCTCATTGTTGCAGGTGCCTCGCTCTATGGCACTCCTGGGGCAGATAATGCGGACCTCTGGGGCATCTACGACTTACTTTCCAGCTCAGTTGCTCCTGCGGCGGGTCTGATATTCGGGTTAGCGCTCCTCCTCTCTGGTATCTCTGCAGGAATCGTCTGTACCATGGCGGGGCAGATGGTAAGCGAGGGGATGTTGAACTGGACCATCAGACCCTGGCTCCGTCGATTGATTACCCGATCGATCAGTATCATCCCTAGCATAATCATCGCGGCTGCCGTCGGCAAGGATGGATTGGACAAGACCTTGAATGCCAGCCAAGTGGTTCTGAGTGTCATCCTTCCCTTTGTCAGCGCTCCTCTCATCTACTTTACATGTCGCAACCGTTACATGACCGTCCCAACTGAGCGGGTCTTCGAGGGCGGAGAATCGGCGCCGGGAGGAGTCAAGATGAAAAACAATCTCTTCGTAACCATCATCGCTGTGATTGTCTGGTTGATTATTGTGGTGATGAACATTGCGCTTCTTGTTCTCCTTGGCCTCGGCAAGGCTTGAAGCCTGAGCTGACAAGCAATAATATCTACCACCGCAAGATTGCAGCAGACTCTAGCCTGGATCGATTTCCGGTCATTCCCCCGTATATAGCTTAGCAGAAGGACAGAAAGAAAAAGAAATCAAATTGCTTCATCTGGAAAACTTGAAGGCGAATAGACATGAACCAACTCCGAATGCTTTCCATAGTTCGAACACCTAGACTCACAGATACTAGACCCCTCCCCATCCGCTCACCCAAATCAGCTAAGCCCGCCCGCAGGCTCCTTGATCTTACTCTGCTCCGGCGGCTCATCGATGAACTGCGGGGGCGCGACCTCGTCCTGGAGAAAGCTGGGCATGGCACTGTCGGCCATGGCGCCTTCCATCATGGTCTCCTCGCCGAGGGCCTCCAGTTCGGCGTCGAGCTCCGCCTCGTCGACATCCTCCGGCACATCGTAGGCGCGCGAGATGCTCTCCTGGATCTCGTTGCCGATGTCCATCAGGTCGGCCATCTCGTCCTGCATACGCTCGATCTTGTCGATGTCGATCTGCCCGTACTGCTTCTTCAGGGTCTTGGTGGTCGTCTTCATCGCGTCCACCGTCGTCATCACGTTCTTCAGGTTGTCCTGCATCATCCCCGCCTGCTCCATGTTCCACGACTGCTGCGACAGCTGGTCGCGCTGCGCCTCGTACTGCTTCCGCCGCTGCAGCACCTTCAGCGCCTTCTGCCGCAGGGCCGTCTTGCCGGGCCCGTCGCGCATCCTGGCGATCTTGGTCTGGTAGGTCGAGAGCTCCGAGTTCAGCGCGGCCAGCTTGACGTCAATGCTCGAGATGCGATTCTCTACCTGTTTCTCCCGGATGGTGGGTTGGGGTTAGTTCAGGCCATCACAGGTTATGCGTGCGGGGTTTCGGAGGAGGGGGGAAGGGCGGAGAAGCGATAGGAGACAGAGAGAGAGAGAGGAGGGAGGGGTGAACCGGAAAGGCGAAGGGAAAGTGGGACACTTGCATTGCTGATCGCCCCGTCCAGTGTTGGCTTCGGAGCCGTGTTCTTGCTACCGAATAGTCGGTTCATTGTTGGTTTTTCTTCTTTGTGAAAGATGATCAAGAAGGGGAAGATGACGGAGTGAGAAAGAGTTGGGGTTGTGTTTGTGGCAACCGAATGATTGGAAGCTGGAGTGGCTAAGTTGGAGGGGGGGAACTGGGAACTGGAACACCGTCCGTTAGGCAGTAAATAGTCTCGCCGCCTACATTAGAGTATTGGATGTACTTCGAGCAACAGCGCGATATTGACTAAACACCGACGTAGACGTCACTTTCTCACTTTGTTTGTGACTGTGTAAGAGTATAGTGACAGGCAACAATATTCATTCTCTCTCGTAATTTGATCTGAAGCCAGACTTTGACGGGACATGGCTGAGCGCTTGCGGACGGAAGTCTTAGCGATTAGCGATCGTGTCAGTACTGTAAGATATTATCAGGCTGAACCAAATGAGTGACTATTCATCCGAAAATTGGGAATTGACAAGACAGACACTCCACGGGTCATCTGACCAACATCCCAGATTCCACATCGACTACGGAGTCGGACTCTTCGTACTGGTCTGCCCAACTCTACCTGTTTGGGATAATACACAGTCAGGTGCAATCAATACTTCAGTTGCAAGGTGATTCGCAGGCCCCGACGCAATCAATGAGCATTCCGCAATAATGGAAACGACGGACTAGTCGTACCCGGTACTTGCACCCACACACGAGCGGGTATGGTCAGTGCGGTACCTGATACGTAGGCCCGACCTCCCAGCACCGGCCATGCAAGGAAGCAAGCAATACCAACTGGAACTCGTCTCGTGCAGCCAGCCTGAAGACTCCGACTGTTACTGCGCCTTTCCTTAGTTACATACGTTGTTGTCAAGATAGAGGAATATCCATTTAACCATATCACCAAGTAAGAGGAGAACATTGTAGTCTTCATGTTTATGCCTTTGCCCCCTTCTCTGATTAATCATCCGGGTCGAACTCCCTCCAACCCACTAAGCAATTCCCAGACAGTGAAACTCATCGACCATTATTATTCATTTCCGCAGGACTAAACTATCCCACTTCCCCCCCCCCCTCCCTCCCTTTCAACTCCCCCCTCTTACTCTTCTTACTCTGCCCTCGCGTATCTCTGGTCCCAAAGTTTGCCCTTCCCCCGCCGTCGCTCGGGCGTGTTGGGTATTTCCGCTTGGATCATTCCTCGTCACCTCCAGGGATCAGAGTTACCGACCGATCCAGACACAGCCAGCTAGCCAGCGCAGCAACAGTCCGACTGAATTGCCCTGCGGATGTCAGCCCGCCATCCTTGACTATTCTTCTTGAGGTACTGTAGTTACAGTACTTACTGTACTACCCACACACGCCTAGCACCATTGACTGACTTACTGCCTTAACCTTCATTCATCATCCCCATTACGCACTATTCCTGCTTCATCTAACTGACTGACTCGTTTCACCCCGTGCAGCGCAAGGCTGACGAACTCCGATTCCTCCCCTTGTTGAGGATTCTACCACCGTCTTCTCTTCTCTTGTCACTCCCTCAGGTTGTGAAAGGTATGTGTGCTTTGCTTGAATTTTATATGGTATATCTTTCTTTTAAACTTTTGTCCTCCGCTTGCTGGGCCTTCATGCCTGCCATCTGGTGAATTCTGCAGTCGCGGCCGCAATGCCTGACCCGGTCATTGTGTTGTCTGCCTGAAGTCTGCCCTGCTGCTATCCTCCGATCCTCGGGCGAAGCCACCCCTAATGTTCCCGACCCTCACATTTCTGCCCTCCCTCCTTCATGATCATGACGCTCAACGCGCGAAGAGGTTTGCTAACTGGGATACTCGGCGCATCTAGCGCTTGGACGCTCCGACCAGGCTCGTCTCTGCTTACGAAATTCCCGATCTCACTTTCTATACCTGGAACGCGTGAACATAACGAACATTACGCTTGCGATCCCGCCTTCATACACAAACTTCTCATTCACGACGATCTGAAACATTGCATGGGTTGTCCCATAAGCTAGAGGCTTTGGACACTCTCACGGCTCTTGTAATATACAACAGGTCCCAGTCGCAACGATTTCGACGGGGGACTCCGGCCGCTAGAAAAATCCGCATTCTACCGAATCTTCTTTCCATGACTCGGTTCGGCCGGTTATTTAAATCATCATGTTTTGGCGTTTTGGAGGATATGCAAGTATCTCCAGCATTGATACCCTGCTAGACAAGCCCGATGTCAGCCTGGAGGAGCTGCTGGATGAGTCGGAACTGATCCAGGAACTCAAGCAAAATAATACGAAGCTCATAGAATTCTTACGAGAAGATAATGTCTTGAAACGGCTTATGGACTACGTGATCGCCCCGTCGCTAGTGAACGACGAAGATGACGAAGACGACGATACCAATGACGGCAATGCTACGGAGTCGAACAACAACGCATCGGCGGTGGAGGAGAAACACAAAGACCCGCTCAGAGATATGCTGAACCCAGAGGACCTGGAGCGGGCAGAGAAGGATCGGTTGAAACGGGCGTATGTCGCATGCGAAATCCTGTCATCGGAAATCTGGTCAATCGTGGAGTCGATTATGTTGAACCCGGATCATCTGAAGCACTTTTGGGGTTTTCTGAAGCGTCCTTCGTCCTTGGACTCTGTCCAGGCGAGTTACTTCACAAAAGTCAACGAGACGCTTTTTGACAAGAAGACGACCGAGATGCTGGACCTGCTGAAGTCCATGGATGGCGTGGTTCCGGCCATCCTCCGGCATGTGGATAACCCCATGGTCATGGATCTTCTGCTGAAGATTATCAGCTTGGAGAAGGTTGAAGGCGGCCAAGGGATTGTTGATGTGAGTTCATCCATGGAATCAGGTGCTTGTAACACAAGCTGACCATTCTCTTAGTGGCTGAGGTCCCAAAACCTCATACCGACCTTGCTATCGTTCTTGTCGCCGGAATACCCTGCCTCCGTCCAAACCTCGGCAGGTGACTTCTTGAAAGCAATCATCACCATTTCGGCAAACGCAACGCAGAATGACCAGTCCTGCATCGGCCCCAATAGTCTCACGCGGCAATTAGTCTCCACAACCTGCATAGAGACTTTGATCGAATCCATGCTGAAGGGTGGAAATCCACTGACGGTCGGTGTGGGTATCATTATTGAAGTTATTCGAAAGAATAACTCAGACTATGACCCGGAGAACATCAATGGGCCGGACTCACCACCCACGACATATGACCCTATCTACCTTGGCAACCTTCTACGACTTTTTGCCAAGCACATACCCGACTTCATGGCCTTGATCAAGAGCTCTAAGCATACGGTCAATGATGGTGGAAAAGTGAAGACTGTTGAAAGGGGAAAGCTGAACTCGGCATGGGGCGCTAAGATCGAGCCTCTGGGCTTCGATAGATTCAAGACCTGTGAGCTGATGGCGGAACTGCTACACTGCAGTAATATGGGTCTGTTGAATGAGCCAGGAAGTGACGAGTACGTGCGACAGCGCGATGCTGAGCGCGAAAGGCTCATGCGTGAGGGTGCCTTCAACGCGCACAGAGAAGAGACGTCCGCCTTTGATGGAAATGACTCTACTGTGGACTTCGTGAACGGATCTGTTATTGGTTACGGGTCACCAGAGGGTTCGAGGGTTCTTGAAGTTGCCAACACCGGCGAGGAGAGCTTCGAGGATGTCAGCGCATCCGGCGTCCTTATTGACAAAGAGAAGGATGCGGGGGTCAGGGAAGCGAACCATCTTAGCCTCAAGTCCGAGCCTGAACCTGTTTCACACAGCTCTGAATCTGCAGATGTCACAAACTCGTTTGCGAATGAGGCACTCGAAAGCAAGATAGAAGATTCTACAGGGGCGCACACCACGGAGACTGATACCACGTCTGGCTTGGCAGATCAAATCCAAGAAGTCAGCCTCGACGGTGGGCAATCCGCCAAGCCGCATGAATTGTCTGCTGAGACTACAACTGAGCCAGCCAATCAGACGCAGCCCTCTCTTGATGTGGTCCCTGCCCCCGATCAAGATAATCAGCCACCCAGCTCTTCCTCGCCTGATACTGCTGGCCAGGTCGGCGATGCTTCTTCTTCACAGCGGCCACTGCATCCTGACATTCAGGTTGATTCCAATGGGCAGCCTGTGGTTGGCGACTATCTCAAGATTATGTTCGTAGAAAACCAGGTTGTTCCCACCATCTTGGTTTGTCTCCCCTTAAGTGCCCCATATTATGGGATTAGGATTAACAGCATCGCAGGATTTCTTTTTCCGGTTCCCGTGGAACAACTTCCTTCATAACGTCGTCTACGACGTCGTACAGCAAGTTTTCAATGGCCCAATGGAACGTGGTTACAATCGGATGCTGGCTGTTGATGTCTTCGAGACAGGTCGGATAACACAGAGCATTGTCGACGGACAGAAGAGAAGTGACGAAACCCAGCGCACAAGACAGATTCGTCTGGGCTACATGGGTCATCTCACATTGATCGCTGAGGAGGTCGTTAAGTTCAGCGAACGCCACCCCCCGGAGCTGCTTTCACCGACCGTGATGGAAGGTGTCCTCAACCCCGAGTGGATTGACTATGTCGAGCAAACGCTCTCCGAGACAAGGGAACGTGACAATGCCATTCTTGGTGGCGTACGTCCGGACATGTCCATTGGGCATCGGCAAGGCATGATCAACTCAGGCCAGAGCGCCAACGCTTCATCGGCGCTGGCGGATGCAGGGCTTAATGGTT